AGAAATGGATATACGTTAGTTTGGCCATCCTTGAGCTACTCTTTATCATAATATTTTGAATATGAGAGCATTTACGAGCTAAGCCTTTTCTGTGATATGTCTGGTATACAAATTGACCCAACTGACATGAAAAGGCTGGCAAAGCTCACAATACTTTGTCATCTTTACCATGCAAATTTTAACCTTTTCGTTTGTAAGGTTGCTTGCGTGCAAGGCGAGGGGGGGGGGGGAGGGGGGTGGCTTATTCGACCATGTTAACATGTACCTATTATTCTTTTCTGACAGCATACAACATTTTAGCTGATTGGAGAAAATGATTCCAAAAGTAGGGGGGGGCTTATTCGACCATGTTAACATGTACCTATTATTCTTTTCTGACAGCATACAACATTTTAGCTGATTGGAGAAAATGATTCCAAAAGTAGGAATGAAATTTGCCTTCCATGCTCGATGGATAGTTACCATAGCAACGAAATAAACAACTGGGAATGGAAACCACATATGAAAATGGCTACGAATTAATTCAATGAACGGTTTATCATGAGCCTGTCTGTGTGGGAGAGTGGTATTGACAGTTGAACCTTTCTCGAGAGCATTCGTTGCTTAGCAGCACTGTTTGCAGCACCCGTGAATAAAGCAGAAATGTGATTACCAGTCCAATTTATCACCGTTCCTATATTGAAGTTTGAAAGGTTAGGTTATTGATTTACAGCGCTATCGAGGGAAACGGGGAAATGTCATATATGACAAATGTATTGCATCACACACCCTGATATCCTCTGGAATTGTATGTATCAGGTGGGGGGGGGGACAAAAGCAGGGGGAATAGTGCTAGTTCTAATACAGGTATTGATTATATCGTAGTGATAATGTTGATTTTATGTTTCAGATAATCAACTACAGAATGATGAATCGATCAATATGACGAATGAATTGCATCACAAACCGTGATATCCTCCTGGCAATGTATGAAATCGGGGGGGGGGACCCTTGTTATGTCTTGAGCTAACAAAAGCAGCGGGAGTAATACCAGTTTCAATTTAGATATTGATTATATCTAAATGCTAAATGTTGATTTTATGTCACAGATGATCAACGTTACGATGATGAAACGGATATAACATGGCAAGAGACCAACAGTGATTTTTATACCGAGTACCAAGGCAGTAATAAGCGGATTTAAATTGTACTGCAAATGCAAATGAGATTTTTGCTTCAAATTAACATAGTGATGTTACCAAGAAACTTTTCATGTAATACATGTTTGAAAATTGCCCGTTCATGAAAAATATAATATTGCAATTTTTACATTAGAGCGTTCATAAAATCCTTGTTTTCATTACGTGTAATAAATACACATCGCTTATTCAAGAACAGAATTGCAGACATATGTACTTCTTTCACATAATCATGGTGGTTTCCTTGTATTTTATGCATGTAAATATAAATAGTTCCCATTTGGTTTGAATGGACATTTTATTGATGATAAAACATTGAATACTTATATAAAGACTATTTCAGGAATAGAGCAATAACAATGAAGCAACATTGAAAACATTGGAACGTGAAGCATTGTAATTGCTCATGAGACATACTTAACCGCTCTTGAATTCGTTTTAATTAACGTCGTCACGACATACTAATGAAATAACTGTCAATTGCCCACTGCATATGAGGACTTGGAAAGCAATTATAATTAATTCCAATCTAATAGTATTGATGTTACTGATGAGACCATGAATGCAGTCTCCATTGCCGGGAAACGATGAATATTCAACTATGCCCAATACCGATAGGCCTTTTATCGATTTCATTTTCGTGCATCGCCCAAGGAATGACATAGATACAACTATAATACTAATATACTATTATAAAAAAATTCATCCACGAGTTGAGCATTTACTTAGGCTACTTCATAATAATAATAATGATAATAACAATAATGCCAATGACGATGATAGCCCAATAATAATAGCAATAGTAATAATAATGATGATAATGATAAAAATTATATTAAAAAATAATGATGATACTTATAATCGTCACCATGATAATAATAATATTAATAATACTACTACTGCTAATAATAATGATCATAATATCAACAATCATAGTGTACCATACAAATAAAACGTATATTAACAACAATCCCCTGTGCACTGTTACGGAGAGAAAGAAAAGACTAGCGAGGAGAAAGAGTTGCGCTTAGCATACGGTATACTCAATAGGTTAAACAAATCCTTAACTACGGTATTGTTTAGTGAAATACGCATTAGATAAACAAATCGCGAACCCTAAAAAAGGTTGTCAGAAGTCCCTCGAGACAGACGTGAACTTGCTGGCTCCATTTTTGTTAACTCCGGCCATTCCGATGTCTATTAGGTACGACTTAGTGGCAAAGCATAGTTAAGATATCAAAATATTACGCAATAAATTGTTAACATTCTCATGTTCACTTCCTAGCAATATTCAGAATCTTCTGTATTAACACAGTCTGAGATCTGGTTCATAGTGTTCCTTACCGAACGATAGTTACAACAACATTTATATTGCTTTGCTTGAATTGCCTAGAGCAAGTCAGACGCAAAAAGTGCCCTACAAAAATATTTAACTAAACTTGTAATAAACCCATTTTTCAGAGACATATACTTTGACCGAATATTGGACCAGCGAATGCTGCCTTCTAATCACCTTGGGAATTTTGGGAGGTAGTACATGCAAACAAACAGGACAGGTTCTTCTTTAGCATATGGCATTCAATTCTTTTCTACAATAAGTTCTTGGCTGACATATAGAATAACTGTCATCATTTTCTTCTACGCAAAAAGAAAGAAAAAAAAGATAGAAAAGAGAATTGTATTATCACCGGCCGTCGGAGTCTAGTTCGTCAAAACATTCGCGTGATTGGAATTCTCATCTACGGGTATCTACCTTTTTTATCATTAAGATATTCCTTCTTCTGTCTATTTCCCTATGGAATGAGGTAAGACGTTGCACGACATGCCCTAAATAAAACATGCCCTTGGGCGGTTTTCAAATGGCGTGTCTCTGATCAGAGAATAGAGATCACCTGGACGGCTTCTTTATGAGACTTTCGACATTTAGATTGAACTGAATAATATCTGCTACGAACATGATGAAAGAGATTGAAGCGTGTTGGCTTCTGAAATTATTTCCTTACCTGATAAAAAGATGGGAGTGCAAAGGATAGGTACGAGTAAGGAAAAGCCATTTCATTCAATTCGTAATTGATAAATCTTCGTTGCGTTTCATGAAACTAGTGCTGCATTTTACACAGTTCGAAGGGCTGCCTCCATTAAACAACATCTCTAAAGCTGGCTTAACATGTTTTCATACTCTTGTGTAACATTGAAACCATCTAAACAAACATCTATCGTATTCTTCCCTGAATACCTGTTTCTATGGGTACGGAAAAGTAGAATTTTCCAAATAAATCAAACGATAAAGTAGTGTACAATGAAGTTTGTCATTTCATCAGAAAACTACTGATTAAAAATTATTTCGGAATATCAACCTAAGACAATATGTTCGTCACCTATTGAAATGTGCAAACATTACCATGACGAATGACGTAATCCAAACATGATTTCTATGGGGCATAGAATAGGGTATTGAAATATTCTTTGAGTTGTTTTCGAGATCTTGTGGGGGCCATGCATATCCGATGATTGCAGTCAAATTCTTTCTAATGATCAAAGGATAAACCAGTTTTTGTTGATGTCTCATGAAAGAAATATACTTAATAAAATAATCTACCAGCTCTAAAAGCGGGGGGGGGGGGGGGTTAACAGCCGACAATGTACTGCAAAAAACACATCTTGTTTAGCATAAATCAACACGATGTGTGTTGAGGATTCGTGACCTGGCTTTATTCCTTTCCTTTAAAATTAAGATGTGATTAGCTTATTTTCATGCCAATTAACCAGATTTAATGAGATTTCATAGTGATGTAAATGGGTACTTTGTCTTTGGAAAGCTAGAGCGCCGTAATGGCAGCACAGCTAAAGCAGGGATAATAATCTTCAAGTTTGGAAGCGCTTAGTGATTGCAATAAGCGCTATATAAAAACTGAATATTATTATTAGTAGTAGTATTATTATTATTACTGATAGGACTACTCTGTAAGTAATCATAATTTTAATTTTTGGTAATATTATGTTTTTTGTGATAATTATCCATATAGAAATATGATTCTAAAAGAAATGTTAATTATGTTATACAAATTATTAGTTAATAATTTGAAAGTGTATGAATATGACAATTAGAAAAATGGTTATACATGCGTTTATCTCAATGAGTACAACATGTATTATTTTACTATTATTTGATACTACTTGTTAAGTTGATTAGAATCATTAATTAAAATGAAGATAACTTAAAGTCAAGATTTTTTATATTCTTGTACGTATATATAATTTGTAAACTGAATCGTGAGCCTCAGGACTTTGAACAATGAACCAGAATTGAATTGAATAGAGAATCATATTGGATCATCGTGGCGGTGAACTCAATTTTCATTATTGATCATTGCTCTGATATTATGACATAATAAAATCCGTATCTAAAGACAGTAAATTTCAACTGCTCCTAAGGGAACGTTGGAGAAATAATATTTATGATGATGACGTCAACTCAAGTGAGTAAACAAAATTAACGTTATGACATGTAATATGCAGATTCACGTATCTACCCCCCCCCCCCCCCTGAACAAAACTTAAAAACAAAAGCTTCACATGTCATACGCATGACATCAATAGTTCATCGAAGATTTCACATAAGGGCTCGGGTTAGAGAGCCTATGTAGCCCGTAGAGACACGCGTCGCCTTTTTCGGTCAAAATTATGACCGTGATGACGCATGAATAGTATCATGTTTCAGAAACAATACAGGTCCTATCAATGAACCCTGTGGTACAATCACATGTTAGAAAGACATAAGGCGTTATTGGTTAAAAACAGGTAATGGATAGAGAAGCTTACCTTTTGTAGAGAAAAACGTGTGTAATATCCGATCTGTTTTCTTGCGAAACGTCAGCTTGACGTGAGCGGTGGAGGAGGAAGCTATTAACCACGGGGCGCGTTGTGAACACGCTGTCTATCAGGGAGCTGGATGCGGTAGCCGTGAAACCAAATGAGAGAATAACAAACAGAGACAGCGCATGAGAGTGAGGAATGGAACGAGTTATTGAGAGCGACAGTATTAAAAATGGAAATTTAATTAAGATAGATGGGAGCCATGGCGACCCGTACTGTGTTTCGACTGGTTTCTATTGACTTTCAACAAATGAGATGGAGAGAGAAAGATAGAGTGGGCGAGAAAGGGACGGGAAGAGATTATTGCGAAGGGAACATGAATAGATAAAGGGTCGAATACTAGGAAAGTGTGGAAGAGAGAGAGAGAGAGTGAGATATGATTATAGACTAGAGAATTGATGGTATACAATTACATTACAATACAAACATGATATAAGAGATGATATTTTAATGATTTGAATGAAATCAATAAAGAATATTGAAGAACAAATAGATGAAAAGGTTGATAGCTTTCTTGGGAAAAGGAAGAAGAAATAGAGAGAAAAGAGTGCTAGGGTGACATAGATAGAAAGAGAAAGAGAGAGAGTGTGAAGGAAAGAATTTCACATCTCCAACAACAGATAAATGCTAATAATACTTTGATTTAAAGATGATGAAGATAATACTGTAATGATAATATTAATAATATAAAGTGATAATAGGGCGCAAACTATATCCTAGAATTTTCTATGCGCTTTACAAATTTTTCTGTGAAATAATGCAAAACATAAGTTCTAAGTAATATAATTATGATCATACAGGATTGTAAAACGCATAATCCTTTCATCATATTGACTTTTATATATTGATAAATTTTCTTGGGCAGCATCAGAATAACGCATTGCACGTTTGATTCATTGAGCCTCGAACCGTGTAGTTAGTGGAGCCAAAAGGGTGATGCATTATTAATAATGTGCAATCACAGACACAACCGTTACTATGTTACAGACACGCTCAGACCCAAACCCCCTTTGTATATACATATATATTTGTGTTACTATGTACATCACAAACATGGTGAATTTATAAAAGTCGGTATCGTAGGGATGGTTATACTCGTCAGCTTTACATCAACGCATATTTTTTTTAAGGGATTGGGTATATTTGTCTCAGATTCTAAACAAATTCCTGGATATTTGCTCATGCTGCAATCATAATTATAAATATTAAGGTCAGTCAGAAATCCCATGACATTTACAAGCCGATCGCCCGTCTGATTATCAAGATATTTATGATTGGAATTCGAAATTTCCAAAAAATCGTTTTCTCAACGTTTTTATAACATTGAGAAATGTTGTAAAATATAGTCTATTTGGGAAAAATGAGTATGGTAAAACCGTCACTTGATTTGTTTTACTATTTTGAGGCACTTCATGATCATTTTGAAGCGCAATTTATTTTTAGGGCTTCAATGCTACATCATATTACAGACGCTGATAACACATAGGGCCGTGCATCTCAGATTTAACATTGTTAAACGATGCCTTTAAGGTCTGCTTGTATGTTTTCAACATTCTAAATCATGTGGCACCTGAAGATCTTAATGCATCCTCCAAATTCACACACCAGCTCGTAAACTTTGCTCACCAACTGACAAATGTAGACTAATAATTCCCAAATGCAAACTCTCATCTGCCGGAAAATGCTTTAATGTGGCTACTTCGAAAACATGACACAATATCCTACTTTCCACAAGAGTATCAAACCTGGCTTGTCTCTTTCGAAAGTTCACTTAAAACATATTTCTTCTCTCATTTACTTAAATACGATTAACCTATTTTTTACAAATGTGTGAATTTCATATTTGTTTTTCACATTCTGTATTTTTCCAAGCGCTAATATTTGTTTAACGCTCCTAGATGATCGATATTATTGTATTATTATATTAAAGGTATGATACAATAATATATCGACTTTACAAATCTTCTGCGTTATTACGTCTAATTTTTTGTGTGTAAATACACGAAATTATTTATTTTCTATATAGGGCTTCTGACTTCACATATCGGCTCTATCATATTCATCTATTCGCTTTCCCTCTTGTTCTCAACGAAATCATTTCTTTTCTAAAAGAATATGTACTGCGTTATTAAAAAAGCAACTTAGCCATAAAACCAAATACTATAAGAAAGTTCGTAGAATAGATTACCTGCGCATGATACTGAATACATGTACATTAAAGTTTTGTTATCATAATGATATTAACAATAAAATTTTTGATTACACAGGGAAGCTTCTTTATTAAGTGATCGTGGGCATGACTTATATTCAATTATATACCTCACTTAAGAAATCCAGCCATCTGATTGGTCGAAATTGCAGTCATGGTTTTAACCATTCCCGTAAATAAACGAAAATGCCAAACCCATGTAAAAGTTCGAGGGTAAAATTCCAGTTACCGGGAAAAATAGTTCAGTCTTGCTGAAATACCCATTGGTTCAGAGTTAAAAACTGGTTTGAGCGATCGCGGATACCACACATACGTGTACGTGTGCGGAGAATTGGTCGCTAGCTTAATTAACCGATTTTTAATATAGCACAGCGCATACGACCGACCGTACGGCAATCTCGATCGTACTGAATTCCAAACAAGGCAAAAATGGCAGAAGGAACTCTCCCAAGATTTCAACTTCTTGATGATGATCAAATGCAAGACTTTATTAATTCTGCTGACAACAAGAACACCAAAAGGGTACGTGAAATTCTCTATAAAAATATTGTGTGCTAAAATTCTTCCCATAGAGATTGCACACATCTCTATGCAGTCCAAGTGCATTGCGCACTCATGCTAAATTGGTCGATGTTTTAATTACCAAAATGAGATTCAAACCAATATTGCCCGTAAACCTGAAGGTGATACTCAAAGTGAGGTGTCATATGAAAGCGCAGGTTTTTCTCCATATTCCCCACAGGGGCCCACCCCCCCTCCCAATTTTAAAAATATCTTGCTTAGAGTCAGACTAGAAATAAACTCTCAAAGATACACTCATAACAAACAACCGTGCAGATGAACTAGAGAAAGGCCGAGGTGGTGTCATAAGTTGACACTTTTTTCTTGAGCGTATAAAAACAACTATTTCTCTCAAAGCAGTCATTAATACTATAATATCAAATGGACTGATTTAGGTTTGGTTGTAAAATTCAATAGCACATTCTGTAACTAAAATATCAATTGGGGATGACAGAAGTACGAAAATAGGTGGCAATCATTTTGAATTGTGCGTTAAATTAATCCAGATTCGAGTAATTATGGATACTGCGTGATGATCTAATGATCTTCATTCGATATGGTTGCTATGGACTTCGTAATCAAATGAAATACCTTTGGGATCTAAATGATATCAATTAGCGGAGATATCATCGAGCCGTAGTCTTGTGTCCTCCGAGATGTACAAATATTGATATTCCTTGATGAGACTAAATTAGCAGGCAGGCATCCTGGTGCCTTCGTTTGCTTGCATTGTCTGCATTTCTATAGTTTCACTGACAACAGTTTTTTCGTCTTGGTTATGACTCGTTTTGCTACTGTATTTCGTATTGTAACGGATTTGTACTGCATCAGTGTAAATTCAAATATTTTATTCTCATGTGCGCTTCGTATTTGTGTTTTTCTTTTAGGACTTTTATTCGGCCCTAGACCGGCAAACCAGAGAAACCATCTTCTCAAGAAAATGTAAGAGCACACAAAAGACGAGTAAATGCAAAAAGTTAGAAGTTATTTTCGGAAAGATTTCGAAAAGAACGCTAAAAACAAACTTGGTCATGTAACTGGAAAGAACATGAAACAGAAATATCCTTCTTCTGTATATTTCACGAAAATGATTTTCCTCATGCCTTTACAAAAAAAAATCATGATGCTAGCGTATCAACGAATGACTGCATTTAACTTCCTTCGTAACATGAAGAACTAAGATTATCGGGATTAAATCAAGGGATGTATGTCATTTCTTTCAAAATTGGAAACACGGAATATTAAGGGGAAAGGGTTTAGATGGTTTTAATCACGGGATTGTACGTTTAAACCAACTAGTACCTACATTTCAAATACATAAATCTAGCGAAAATAGTTGTATAATTACTCATTAACGACAAAAATGTATAATGTCCTTGAAGCGATTGTATAACGTATTTTCGAAGGTTCATAATACTTCATAATACAAAAATGAAATAGGGTTTATAATTCCAAAAGTTCTTGATTCCGAATGACTCATGAGTCACATGTTATGTTCGGAATAACAAATTCTTATTTCATCTTTGGAATTACCAACATTCGAAACATAATGAACCCTGTTTCACAACCGGAGCTTTGAACCCTCGGATTAACGAACCTTCGGAATAACTTAAGAACTGTTCGGAATTATGAACACTATAACATGTTCGGAGTTGCGAACCCCCTTTAATATGGAAAATTTCTATTTTGGAAATACGAACCTTTGGAATAATGAAGCTTCGGCAAAACCAGTGCAAGCCGGTAAAGAAACCGCTATAGCGCTGCTATACATTGTAGCGTTTAGAGACGGTCGACATAATAGGACCATGATCATCATTAAACCCCTCTATCTGCTAACTTATCACGATAATTAAATCGGTCAACGAGAACAATGGTGATAGCTAGTCGCTGTTATGTGACAAATTAAGTAAATGATTGCAGGCATTGTTCCAGGAATCAATATCGTTCATAACCCATCATCTTCACTTTAAAAACCAATATGTATGTAAATGATTGTCTTTATCCAACGAGTTATCGGCAGCTTGACAGATGAAACAAGGGGAAATGGAACTCGGTCCACTTTCCCATTTACTCAACACCTTAATGCCTAGGGGAGGCATTGATATCCAATTAAAAGCTGATTGTGTTATAACGCCTATTCACTCGAGAGAGATGGAAGCGATAGGTAAAGTGTAAATTTATGCATGGGAAATAGCACTTTGGCTCACAGCAGACTGATAAGTCAAGAATCAAGGAGCTTTCTTAAATCCCGATTCACTTTTTTTCGCGGCCGATATCTGGCAAATTATTATTTATCAGACCTATAGATAC